TGTTCCAAATTTTGTAAGTGATCTTTAACAGCAACAACAAATCTCCATGTTTACATATTTTTCTGTAGGGTTTCAATCTGCCCGTTCCCCTTAGTACAATTGCTGAGTTCAGAAGGTTTTGACGTATAGCAATTGTGCTCTCATTTTTAGTGAGAGTTGGGCATCTCTTTATCTCTGATTGAAACTATAAGTTTATGATAACTGAAAGTAGAATCATAAACTTAAGATTTAATATCCTCTAACTATCTGGAAAATACCGCGTCAAGGGTGGTCCCATATTTTGTTGTGGATTCTTGTGGACCATTATTCATTTTCAAAAGGTGGGGTAGCTATTTACCAAAATAATAATAATGTCACTAATATTATTTGTTATTAATAAACTTTTTATTAAATTCCATATTTTTATTTGCCATTCAAAAAATTGTAATTGTATATTATTTTTGAGTCACCGTGCTCTTCAATTGATTTGTTCCGGTTAAGATATGCGAAAATACAATAAATATATAAATAATTAAAAATACAATAAATATATAATAAAAATAGTATACAAACACTTTGCGCATACTTTGTGTTAGTGTTATTTCCGTTACGCAATTTCTTGATCGCTCAAAGCTCGCGATAGAAGCTATGCAATAACTTAAAAACTTAATTTTCACCTATTTTAATACAAATCTTTATTACTGCCTTCAAAATAGGTTTATAAGCTAACACAAGCTTGCCAAGGCTTAATCTAATTTTCCATACACTTGGGTTTCTCGGTTTCGTCTATGCAACGCCATTCTCTAGACTGTGAGACAGTTTCGATGTAATATTCAAAAACTAACTTCACGTCACCTTTAATGATGTGCTTGATAAATGTAGGGTGCTCAGCTACGTTGTCAAGCATATCTTTTGCGATCTTTAGATCTGTTGATACGCGTATAGCAATAGCACGCTTCATAAGCAAAACATTAACCAAAATTATTAAGTCTATTAATCTTAAGAGCTATTTCTCAGATGCTAACACTACGATTTTCAAGTACTGAGTACCTAGACATTTGTAAAAGAATTGATTATGTATACGACATACGTTTAGTTGTGCGAATATGCCCGATTTTTTGCCAAATAGTCGTCATTTGCGGAAGTGTTGATTTTCTTCTTTCAGTCAAAGAAATCGGTGACTGAAGCACATCGAGAACTCCAAAAAGTTTACGGAGGCGCTGCCCCAAGTGAAATAACGTGCCGTGATTGTTTTCATCGCTTCAAAGACGGCGATTCCGATATTAACGATTTGACCTTTGAAAACGGTAAATTGGAGACGTTTCTCGATAAAAATCTGTGTCAAACGCAAGAAGAGCTTGCTTCAGCATTGGAAGACTCCTACCAAGACATTTCAAAGCGACTACATGCGCTGGGGAAAACATTTGCTGCATGACAACGCTCGGCCTCACGTTGCTAAACCCGTTTAAGCCTACTTGTAAATGCTTAAATTCTCCAGATATTGCACCGTCCAATTATTGTTTGTTCTGTTCGATGGCACTGTCCTGGCTCAGAAGCAGTTTCACTCACAAGGTGACGTCGAAAAATGGCTTGATTGTTGGATAACATCACAAAATGAAGAGTTTTTGTAGAAAGATGGGGAAAAGCTAAGACTAACGTGTTACTATTAAATTGCATTTTCATTAAAAAATAGCGAGAACTTAGTTGTGCGACCAGTAAAGTAGACTAATCAAACACTTATGCAATATTTTCAGCGGGTTTGTAGCCGTGATCCTATAGGAACACACAAAATTTCAAGCTTTGTCCAGTTGGATTATGGTAAAATTTGAGGGGCATACATTCCGCGCAATCAGCTGCCAACGCTCACACTAATTGACATTGGATCAAACTTAGTTGCACCAATCAAAAAAAAAAAATTATCAATTCGGTTTGAATTCTTACTGCAGCGAATATTAATTTAAATCTGTCTCTTATTGATACGTGTAGACACACCTGAACGACATTTGAACTAAAATTAAGACAAGAAAAAAAGTAAACTTTCACTGCACCAAAATTATAATACCCTTCACAAATACAAAAGATTCCTCATTCAGTTTGTATGACAGCTATATGCCATAGTGTTCCGACATCGGCAGTTCCGACAAACGATTAGCTTCTTGGTAAGAATAGGACGGGTGCAAAATATTATCGATAGCGCAAAAACTGAGAGACTAGTTCGTACATGTACAGATGGACGGACTGACGGGCATGGCTAAATCAATTTAGCTCGTTACGTTATTCATTTATACATATACTTTATCGGGTCTCTGACGTTGCCTCTTGTGTGTTACAAACATCGTGGCAAACTTAATATACCCTGTTCAAAGTATACAAACGATTAATCTATAAATAAACAACTAATAGCGTTTATGTGTAATTACGACACACCTTCTGACAAATTGACTTATTTTCTACAATTGTCGATTTTTTCGCTGCCACATTTTTTGGTAGCTTTCCCCCAAAAACGCCCCAACAATTACTCGAGCAACACGAGCTAATGACAAATTGTACTGAAACAACCAATAAACAACAATGATGTCAAATATTTTTGGATACTGTTTACTACAAAATTGATTGCGAATACAAGTGAATAACGTTCAAATTTCGAAACACCACAAGAATATCAAAATCAACGGCGATTCATCGAGCAAGCAGCGATTTATAGGCGTGGAGCTGGAGTTGTTGGAGAGGTGAGCGGCCGAGATGGTGCTGCATGCAGGTGAATTTTGTGCACACAAAGTGTATTCACCTCGCATATTTTGCACACATACGCACATACTCATATCATTTACACATGCTGATACCTACATACATATAATTTAGTGTATTTGTAGATGTGAGCTTCCGCTTGCGTACGTAAATTAAAGAATTTGTCAATTTATTTTTACGGTGAGAAGTGTGTTAGCTGGAGTGCTAACGGAACTTCAGGAACCAATGCTGTGCACCGACCGATGTACACACTTATTTGGTATTTTATGATTGTGCTATGCTTAAAATTGGGCTAATAGAATATGGAATAGCAGAACAAAAATAAAAGACATAAAACATGGCAAAACGGGAACAAAAATTAGAATTAAAAAAATTCGTCAAAAATTGTATTATTTGCCTACAGACTTAGAATGAATGTAAATATGTGAAGAAATTTAATCGTAAAGTGTGCGGCTATCATAAAATTTCATAGGCGATACGAATAAGAAGTGAAAAGTAATCGAGTTTAAATGTATGTTTAACATTTGGGATCGCAGCAATCCACAAATAATATTAAAGGATAAACTGTTTAATTTCTATGAGGCAGCAGTAAGATAGATATTATTTCTTAAGAAAAATACAAAGTATTTGTAAATACTTCTATATTTTTTCCACTCTCAATTTTATTAAATACAAGAATCATGACTTTTGAATAGGGGACATCCCGCTATCAGAAAAATTTTTCGCGTTTTTCCCACTATGGTTTATATTAAGTATATTCTGAGTATGGAGAAAGTTGGGTCCACTTCAGTGCCATCTAACGGATACATTTTTGTGGAATTATTTTCTTGCCCTCTTCAATATCGAATATCATCGAAATCGGTCAATAACATATCTCATGAGGAGCTCAGTGAAATACATCCTAGCATTAAGCTATACTTTTAATTTTTTTTTGACGATATAAGACTGAATTTGAAATCTCGTATTATAATAATTTTTGCTAAGGTTCACAAATGTTGAAAAAAAAAGGTGGTCAGAAAGGGAATATCAGCTACTGAAATAAATCCAACAAGCCACAAACAAAAATACTGTTTAAAACGATAACTTTTAAATACAAGACTAAAAGCTTCGAAAAAGCTTTGAAATATAACAGCTTTATTTTGCATATGGGCTATGTATCACATATGTATACTGAAGGGTTGATCTGCTTCGGAACCATTTCAATATTTAATTGCTTTTCGTTTAAGAGTAGTAAATCGATTATAAAATATTGACATGAAAAACGGTTTCATACTCGTACATACACCACAAACAGTTTATATACTAAATATTATTATTTGTATACCCTGAACAGGGAAATAAACAAACAAAATATATTAAGTTTGGCACGAAGTTTGTAACACCCATAAGAAAACGTCGCAAACCCTAAAAAATATATACATAAATGATCAGCATGATGAGCTGAGTTGCTTTAGGTATGCCCGTTTGTCTGTCCGTCCGTCTGTTGGTCCGTCCGTCTGTATATATGCGAACTAGTCTCTCTTTTCTCACCAAGAAACTGCTCATTTGTCGGAATGGCCGATATCTTCACGAAATTTCGAACGGATTATTATCTCAGACAATAAAGGCATCTCCGAAGAAAGTGTTCATATTGGATCATTATGCTTGTAGCATATTGCTGTCATACAAGCTGAATGATCGGAATCGAGTTCTTCCAAAGAACTTTTTGTATTTGGAAAGGGTATCAGTGCAACCGAAGTTAACGTTTTTTTTTTGTTTTTACTCAGCATTGCCCATCTGAAGCTATACCATTTTCTCATCTTTCTGGCAATCTGTGAATTTTATACCGAAAGAACCCTGTTGGGATGTGAACCGTGAGAGCGTTCAGCATTGACCGGAACAATGGTAGTCAGAAAGACCAAGGTCTAGACTATAAGGGGGGTGCGGCAAAACTTCCCAGTCGTTGTTTTCCAAATAGCCATTTTTAACCATTTATTGCCTCGTGTCTGTCGCATATTCCGCGCGTTTTTTTAACAATCCCTTCAATTTGTTCAGTTGTTGTCGGTACCATTTTGGAATAATGTTTTCATGCGTTATGGATATTCAGCTTTGCCGTTGATTTGGCTGGTTGCCCAGGTATTAAATACGAAATTGGTATTAAATTACATTTGCGAATGTCGTAATTAATCAATTTTTCTGCCTTTGACTGTATCCAGAATATTGGAAGGATGGAATAATAATCAAGTTAAGCCGTTTCCTGGCAAACCGAACGAATATACTTGCAGTTAAAAACCCATATTTATTTGTTGAAAAAATACTTATATATCAGCAGATAAAGAAACTATTAAGCTCAATGTTCAAAAAGATTATCTTGACTTCGACCACGCTTACACTGATGACTTGTGATTTATGAAGATACAAAGGTGTCATACCTACAAAAACATATCTTGGAACTAATTTGCTCTGCTTTCATTAAAGTAAGCAGTAATACTGGAGTAGAACATTTTATTTTTATACAAACTTAAATTCGACACATTTTATTGTACAAATAAATAAATACACAAGAAATAAATAATTGTAGCCTACGAACATAAAGTGTCTTATACACGCTTCTGCAATGCCTCTTGTAGATTGGTATATAAGCAAATTCATTACACAAATTGCAACAAAATAAATAATAAATAAAAAAAAATGTTTTTAAGTCATATTTCAAGTTGCTGTAATCAAATATCGATTTGCATAGCCGTAAAAATACAAAAAATAAATAAATACAATTAAAATAAATTTTACGCTTCAAACAAGCCAAACTTAACAATTTTGAACCGATCAAATATTTATTTTCTAAAATTTTATCTAAACCACTAATTTTAACGTAAATCTACGGTTTCTGGCAACATTCATGTATTTCCGTTTCTATTTCTATTTTTTATTAAACATAACTGTGAATACAACATCCGGAAAAACAATTTGCACGCATCCACAGCGATTCTTAAACGAAAGGTGCTTGCAAATTGTGTGAAATTTTGTACAACAAAACATTACTCAACAATAAATTACATTAAATTAAATTATGCTAGTGCATATTTGAACACAAAATATCGAATTTGCGTTTACAATCTCAGCGACTTAAATCTTTTCGCTACTCTACCGAAGAACCGCTTACTGCCATTGCCCATGGTATGCCTTATAGTGTGGATCCTGATGTTGTCCCACCGGCTGGTAGCTGTCGGTCGCTGCTTCTTCCAGTGTGGGATCGGTTTGTAGAGAACGCTTCCAGTAGCTGCCGCCCGACTCGCCGCCCCAGTCATCGCCATGCTCGTCGTAGTGGTGCTGATGGTGTGCATGTTCAACATAGACAACCTGGTATTAGAAAGATATTTTGTTCGTTGAAGTGAGAAACACCGAGGAAATACCAAAGATACCCAAAGGATTGTCGTGTATCTGTGCGCTTGTGTGTGTGTGTATATATATATGAGTGTGTATGCGTGAAAGTGTATGTGTTCATTTTTGAGGCTTTTGTTTGTTTTTGTTTGCTTGATTTTTGTAATGTTGGTGTATGCAGGAGCTCGTTTTGAGGCAAAAATGGTTTCAATTATAATTTTTTAACGATTTTTTTATGTCTTGATATTTCTGGTTGCTATTTGATTAGAATTTTCCTAACTTCTTCCAAATGTTTCATATCAGCGTACGTCATCAAGTACCTTGATAATTTATCATTTAAAAAACGATTAGTAATTCATGACTAATAAAAGGACGTTACTTTTGGTAGTTCTGCGATTTTTAAACTAATATCTTAATTAAAGTGATATTATAAATAATGTGAGTCACCAAAAGAATAATTATTTCTACGTTGAGCGGTTATTTTAACAAAAAAATTATTATTATATTTATATATTGCTAATTAAAATATTATTTAAATATGTTAAAAGACTTACACTGAACAATCTTGTTAATATACCATATATTTTTTATAAAAAGAGTAAATTTTATATAACCACAAATTCACCTCACGTTTGCACCATATATACGAAGTGTGTTCAAAGAAAAAGGTAAATTTTGATTTTTCGCAGGCTGTGTACAATCAATTATCGATATTTAGTTTTTGTTATATGTATATGTTTATCATGTGTTTGCATTAGGAGCCAATTTTAATTCACAGTTTGCTTTGGACCACAGAAAAGGTTAGTCCCGTTTTTGTGTGATCTTCAATTTTTTACTTTTGAAAGAAATAGATCAAAGAAGATGTATTAAAGTTTGCGTTAAAAATGAAATAAAGTACTCCAGGGCACTCGAAATGTTGATGGTGCGTTCGGTGAGTCCACTATGTCTCAAAGAAGTGAGGCAAGCGCTTTACAGAAGACCGATAAGATGTTGATGACGATGAGCATCATTGAGGTGCGACCACGTCAACAAGCGAAGAAAACATCGAAACAGTGAAAAAACTTGTTCTTGAGAATCGTCAAATCACTATTAGGGGAATTACAGAGGATGTTAGCATATCAGTCGGCTCATGGCATTCAATTTTCTCGAAGGTTTTCGGCATGAAACGTGTGACAGCGAAGATTTTGAACAGAAGCAATATCGCATTATTTATGATGTTTTGACCAAAAACAAAACCGTAATCATGCCTTAATCACCGTATTTACCGGATTTGGCTCCCTGCAATTTTTTCCTATTTCCGAAACTGAAGAAACCAATGAAATGAAAGCGTTTTGCCACAATTGATGAGATCAAGTCAGAATCAATGAAACAGCTGATGGCCATTCCGAAAGGGCATTTCAGAAGTGCTTCGAGGATTGGAAAACACAAGTCGGCATATGTCTATTACAAACGATGGGGATTACTTTGAAGGTGACAAAATAGATATTGATGAATAAATAAGTCATAATACCGTCAAATTCGGTAATTTTTATATAAATGTGAAGAGTTTAAACCAAAAAAAAATTTTTTTGTCCAAAAAAAATTTTAACTCGATATTTAAAGGCGGCCCTTAGATGTTAAAAAAAAATCTTCGAATTTTACCCCCAGGTTAAGCAAAAAAAAAATATTTTTTCTTTTCGTTCCACCCTAGTATACATATAGCTCCATATTATGAAAGCAATGTATAGATCCATTTTCATAGAAATTTTATCTTTGATCTTAATATATATTATAAATATATATATAGTATATTTACCATATACATTAATAAATAAATAAATTCAAGATTAGAACGAAAAAGGTATAAGGGGTTAGGTCAGTCTAGTATTTTCAAAAAAACCATTTTTTTACTTAAAATACACTTTTGGGGTCCTCAAACCCTTAATCAATATTTCGAATAGTGGAAAAAACTTCTCTATCCAATCTACAGTACTGTCAAACAATTCGGGTCAGTCAACTTCAGCACGTTAAACTTTAAACGAGTTTTTTCTGAAACTTGATTTTTCAAAATGGCCGACGATGGTGCTCGGAGACTATTACATATATGTATGCACTTGAAATTGTTCTGTAGTTTCACAGTAATACTTTTTAGTGTAGTTAACGATTTTACTAGCATAACTTATATAGATCTCATATTTTTTATTTTTTTATTTCAGATATCACAACTTCCTTGAATCACTGTCGTTTGTACAAGTATAATCTCTCTTGAAAAAGGTATCTCCGAAGTATAGCTAATAACCATAATTGTATATCACAACGTCAGTATACATTTTTTGCATATATTTTAAAATTTATACTTATTCAATATATATTAAATTAGCCTTAAACAAAAATTAAATTCCTTATTTAAAGAATAAATTTAAAAAATTAGCACTTTAGACTGTCCCGTAAAGTACTTAATAATCTTCCTACACTAAAGATCTGGGCATTAATTAATTTCATAACATATAAAATTTTAGTGATAAAAGTTCCTAAAATTGTACAAGCTCCTGCGACTGGGAATGGAAATAGAAAGTATGTAAAAAGCTGAAAAAGTTACATGCCTTATGCTATGTAGAGAGCACTTTTCGATGCTATTAAGAATAATCGATTGAAAATGTTAAAAATATTAAGTATATCTAATATCTATATACATAATTCAAGTTAAGGCTAAGAGTTTAAGCAGCCCTTATGTTGAAATCGAATATCATGCGTATGTGTAGGCGTAGATTGGGTTCATGCTGATGCACATGCAGCTTTAAAATGAATTAATTTACATCTAAAATAATATATTAATATTACATTAAATAATATGTAACGTAAACAAAAAAAATATTATAAACTATTGTAAAAATATGTGCTCATTAAAGAAAAAAAATTATTTTCATATATTTTCAGTGCATCTCAAATACAACAAGACAAACATATAGAGCAGCAAACAAAACCAAACACGCGCATTACACAAACGAAAAAGTACGTGTTGGGGATGCAATAAAACTCCCTCAGCCTTTTCCTTCTCTCAAGAAAGGACTAGAAATACCAACCTTTTGTGGCGCCCCACCACGTTTAACGTCGATCCAGAATCGTGCAATATTTATCAGCAGACCAATCAAGGCGATGGCAAAGAATTTAATTTGCAAATGAGCACCCAAAATCTTCAAAAGCAACTCAATCTTCGCCTTAAGAAAAGAGCCCAACAACACCAGTTTAGCGATCGCCTTCTTCTTCTTCTTCTTCTTGCCACGTGTCACTGTTATATAGTGGAGAGGAAAGGAGAGAAAAAAACATTGTGGCACAATGCTGTACATTAGTATGATTCGGTCGATCTATACGAGCTGGACCTAAACCTAGTTAACAATTACGTACAATCAAAAAATCGGTTGGGAGGGTGGGTGTTTGTTAGTATGAAGTGCGTTTCGATGTGCATTAGATAGTTGGAGAGAAGCATAAGCGTTCTATATAACGGAAACATGCACATATATGTTTACATTAAATAAATATTAACCGATTTAATGCTAATGTGAGAATGCAAAGGAGTCGAGTTCGTTGCTTAAGTCTTTTGCTTGAAGTGAAAGTATTAGAATTTTACAATGTTATTTTTGCTGAACATAAGTAAGCAGTTTGTTTTGCGTTAAATATTTGGCAATTGAGATAAATTACACCTTATATTCAAAAAAAAAAAATTAAATATATTTTAAAATTAATTTTCATGTTTTGATAATCTCGTCTTCTTCACGTTTTAGAAATTTCTGACATATATTTTTAGATTGAATGCAATTCGAGTATAATCCAAATTTTCGCAAAAATAAATTTGATTTTGCATCTATAAATTTATTTTTATCATCGTATAAAACTTAAGCCAATATTTATTTTTAAAGAACCCGACTCTTTTGCAATTTCACAGCGACTTAATAATACTTGCTTAGTTAATATAATTTTTTTTACTAAATCACAGAATATTTACATCATGCAGGCAATGTAAAGTACACGCAAGCCACTTTTTTGATACCTAATTTTTTTCTTAAATACATCACTCCAAATTCGGTAATTAATTTTTAATATAAATAAATTTTAATTTTAAATATTTAGATAATTATAAAATTCTCAAAATTAAAGAAATTTAACTGTTGCGTGCATTTTACACCAGCTTTTGCTTACAAACTAGTAATAATAAATAAATAATATAAAAAATTCTCGTAAACCATTAGGCCAACTCCACAACCGAAAGCACTGCATTGCCGACGTGCTTCACAGTTTCAATAACCAGAAAGTTCACACGATGGTGTGTGCTTGCACTTTTAGGTTTGTGTACTTACTAATGACTTACTTACGTGGCAACGCTCGCTTCAGCGATTGCGAAGTAGTTACTTTGTAGTAGAAATACCCTACAACCAAATTATTTCTGGTATAATATTTTTTCTAAGAAACTTTTTGTCAATATTAATATTTGTATCTCTTCCATGGAATTGCTGCTATGTGTTAATATGGTTTAATTAAAATTTTATATAATTTTTTGTTATATTTGCAACTTTGTGGTTATTTCCAGTTTTGCATTACTTTTTATTCCTAGAAGTGAATTATTCATCTCCGCGAGTATTTATAACTCCAAATTATACTGGGCAATAAAAAATTACATTTGAAGAGTTTCTTCTAAACACTATTTTACACAGTGAGGTAATTTCAGAAATATCGAGATTAGTGAGTAGGAGGTTTAAGTTATGAGAGATTTATTAAAAAAAATTTATATAAATCGTGAAATGGGATGTCTGTCAAATATGTTAACTATTAGGATGTTTTTTATTTTATGAGAGAGGTTGGGATGATCCCAGAGTACAATTTGCAGACTCGTGAATATAAAATACAAATAATAGAAGAGTTTTCTTAGTAATGACATCAAAATTGAGCTTTCTATATATTAATTCGAAAATTATTCATGAGCTTAAAAATATTACTTTTGGACTGGAGTTTGAAAACCTTTAAGATTTCAAAGCTTTTACATTTTTAAAAATTATCTAAAGACTTGATAGAATAGTATAAAATAGTACAAGGTTGTCAAATATCTCCCTTCCGCTTTTTTGTCTTTCGCGGCTATGTACAAAGCGCAATCTGGCGACACTATACATAATTTGAAAGGTCTTGACATACCCTACAAAACAACGCTATGCATGATTAGTTTGGATATTGCGTTCAACAGTTATAGACGTGTAAACATGGAGTTCACTAACGCCGAAATTCGCGCTATTTTAAAGTTTTCCTTCGTTAAAGGCAAATCCGCTAGAGAAACGTTCCGTGAGATTAATGGTGTTTTGGGGGATGGTACTCTATCACTTCGAACCGCGGAGGAATGGTTTCGACGATTCAGAGCCGGTGAAAACGACACCATGGATAAGCCAGCCGGCGGAAGACCTGTGACGACAAATACCGATCAAATCATGGAATACATCGAATTAGACCGGCATATGGCATCTCGTGACATCGCCCAGGAGATGGGAGTTAGTCACCAAACCATTTTGAACCATCTGCAGAAGGCTGGATACAAAAAAAAGTTTGATGTTTGGGTGCCGCATAATTTGACGCAAAAAAACCTTCTGGACCGAATCAACGCCTGCGATATGCTGCTGAAACGGAACGAACTCGTCCCATTCTTGAAGCGAATGGTGACTGGCGACGAAAAATGGATCACATACGACAATATCAAGCGAAAACGGTCGAAGGCCGGTGAATCGTCCCAAACAGTGGCCAAGCCGGGATTGACGGCCAGGAAGGTTTTGCCGTGTGTTTGGTGGGATTGGAAGGGAATCATCCACTATGAGCTGCTCCCATATGGCCAGACGCTTAATTCTACCATCTACTGCGAACAACTGGACCGCTTGAAGCAGGCGATCGACCAGAAGCGTCCAGAATTGGCCAACAGGAAGGGTGTAGTGTTCCACCAGGACAACGCCAGACCACACACTTCGTTGATGACTCGTCAGAAGCTACGGGAGCTCGGATGGGAGGTTTTATCGCATCCACCATATAGCCCGGACGTAGCGCCAAGTGACTACCACCTGTTCCTGTCCATGGCGAATGCCCTTGGTGGTGTGAAGTTGAACTCAAAAGAGGCTTGTGAAAAGTGGCTGTCCGAATTCTTCGCAAATAAGGAGGGGGGCTTCTACGAGGAAGGTGTTATGAAGTTGCCGTCTAGATGGAAACAGATCATCGAACAAAACGGCGCATATTTTAACTAAAACCGATCACTGTAACACTTTTTATAAAGCATTGAATGAAGAGCAAAAAAGCAAAAGGGAGATATTTGACAAAGAATTGGTTCCTTTTTAGTTTGGCAGCTTCAGAGAGTTTTTTGCAAAAGCTAGAAAATTTCCAGATTTTTTTTTGGTTTCGGAGTATTTAAGCGTTACAAAAAATAACCACATACCGAAAAAACATGAGGAAAACACTGCCTCTAAAACTAGTTCAAAGGTAAGAAAATAATTAAACCATTCACAAAGGAATATTTTACTGACCATAAAGACTTGAAAAAGAGTTTATAAATTTTATATTACGGGAGGTTCCAGGGAAATAATCTCAGGTTTTGTGTTAATAATGTTGGATCGATATGTCACCTGCACGCGAATTTCTTGATTGCAGTGAATAAATTTGTTTGGTGATATGCAGGTTATTTCATTAGTCAAGCGATTGGATGTAGGGTACTTCGACAAACCAACACCATGCGGAAGTTATAAAGGAAAGGAAATTCAATGAAAGATTTTTAGGAGACTATTAAATTCATATATACAGCACTACTAAAACCAACACCAACTACATATTTACAAAATATATTATATACTATTATATTAACTACAGGATAGTGACTAAGTATTAGGGAGCAAAGATGAGAGTAAAAATTTTGTGTACGAAAAGGGTGCGATCAAGTTAATAAATCACACGCAAACACACACCTCCAACGCTTCTACCATATTTTATCGGTTTCTTGTGTTTGCGCTTGTGTCCACCATCCACATCTGTAACATCGACGGCATCCACCAATTCCTCCAGCAGACCCAAGCCCAAATGATCCGAGGGCTCTTGCTCAACCACAACCGACACGCTGTCATCAGCATGTTGATGCTTCTTCTTCTTCTTTCGTTTTTGCTTCTTCGATGGTTTGCTATGACCTTGTGACACTGGCACCCATTCAACGGCATCATCGTGATGACCACCATGCCCATGCAATTGCAATTCGGCTGGTTGTACGACTAAGAGAGTTTCTGGTTTCTTTTTTCTCTTATTTTTGCGTTTCTTTTTACCACCGCCGCCGCCGCCCTTTAGTTGACCCGGTGGCGCGTCTTCACTATCTTCGATTTCTATAAATTCGACGCCGTCTGAGGAGTCATGATTAGCCACGCCGGGCGCTGTGTCAGTTAGTGGCGCTACATCAATATGATCCAGTTGGCTGTGCACGCCCACTGGCCGACCTTGGAAGAAGTTGACTGTATGTTGCTGGTTAGCATTGCCATCGCGATCTACATAATCTTCGTCATTCTGCGACGGCCCTGCTTCGCCATCATCGTCCTCCTCTCCTTCTTCTTCATCTTCATCGCCATTCTCGCTATCTTCTTCTTCCTCGTCATCTTCTGTTTCGTTATCATTATTGACGAAGTTCTGCTTGGTATCCGGCTGCACATAGTCGTACTCGCGGCCCAGAAAGCTAGATAAGACCCTCGAATTGTTTATTAAATTTTTACAGTTATTTCTCATGCACTCACCCATCCATAGTTTCGGCCAAATATTTCTTCATATAACCAGTACCAATTTCGATCTTCTTTAATATCGTGGAAGGCTTCTCTTTGGTGGGGCCTTCACTGGCACTATAGCCACGCTTTTCAAGTGTCGCATTCAATTGCCGGTCTGCTTCCACTATAAAGTGTGGCAAATAAAAGTTTTAATAATAAAGATAAATTGTCAAATATTTTAAATGTTGCAATCAAAGCGCAATGGCTGTCATTTCAATTGAATATTTGACTAAAATGCACGAAAAGTATATGCCACGCTACTGGCGCTTTCAGTTTTATTTGCTTGTAGACCTATTTAAACAGACATTCCACGAATCTAGTACCAACATGTAGGCGGCGATATTTCATGGTTGTCATAAAAGCAAAGCGTAAATTAAATAGTTCACACTTTTCACTCTTAAAGATTTACTGTCACGGTCGTAACGCAGTGACTCATATGCACTTGGTTATGTCCATACTCGTATATGTATGTGCCACCGGTCGAACTAACTTGCTACAAGTACACCGGTTTGTTTTGTCGACCAATTAAGCATACGAAAAAACAGAAACTTCGAGCGACTAGTTTTAACCAATTAAGGATGCAATAAAAAATATGTGCATAACCTCAAGTACATGTTCACAGTTATAATACTATTGTATTTGCATAAGAGAGTAAAAGTTAAAAGTTTGGAACAAAAGTTTTATTTAATATTTTAATTTAATTACTTATTTTATTTTATTTGCTTTTTTAATTTCCTTTCATTTCACTTTATTCCATTTGAATTGTATTAATTTAATTTAATTTAGTTCAATTTCATTTCATTTCATTTTGTTTAATTATATAATATTAAAAGGTAGGAACAGCAGTTTTATTTAAATTTTTAATTTAATTACTTATTTTATTTGCTTTTAATTTAATTTAATTCAATTTAATTTCCTTTCATTTCACTTCATTTTATTTTAATTCATTTAATTTAATTGAACTTAATTTAATTAATTCAAGTCTTTTTAATTTTTTAATAAAGTAAAAGGTAGGAACAGCAACTTTATTTTAGTTTTTAATTTTATTACATATTTTATTTGCTTTTTATTTAATTTAATTTATATTAACTTCGTTTCATTTCATTTTATTTTATTATATAATATTAAAAGGTAGGAACAGCAATTTTATTTAAATTTTTAATTTAATTACTTATTTTATTTGCTTTTAATTTAATTCAATTTAATTTCCTTTCATTTCACTTCATTTTATTTTATTTCATTTAATTTAATTGAACTTAATTTAATCAATTCAAGTCTTTTTAATTTTTTAATAAAGTAAAAGGTAGGAACAGGAAGTTTATTTTAGTTTTTAATTTTATTACATATTTTATTTGCTTTTTATTTAATTTAATTCATATTAACTTACTTATTTTATTATATTTAATTTAATTTAATTTAATCTAATGTAATGTAATATAATTTAATTTAATTTAATTCAATTTCATTTCTTTTCATTTAATTTAGAAAAATTTATTTAATAAAACTTAATAAAATTTATTTTAATCTTATTTAATTTAATTCAATTTTATTTCATTTTATTTAATTTAGTTTAGTTTTTTTTAAAAATTTCTTTTAATTTATTTAATTTAATTTCTTTTAATTTAATTTATTTTAATTTAGTTTAATTTTTTATATTTTTTTTATTTAATTTTATGTAATTTAATTTAATTTAAGATTATTTAATTTAATTCAATTTCATTTTATTTCATTCAATTTAGTTAATTTAATGAAATTTTATAATATAATTTTATTCTATTTTGTTTTATTTAATTTTATAATATTCAATTTAATTTAATTTGATTTAATTTAATTTAATTTAATTTTATATTATTCCATTTTCTTTACATCCGGTTGTATTGATAAATATAACTGAAATGGATTCAAACCGAAGTCTACACGCGAAATCAAACCAATTAAATAAATTTTTATGTTTATTTTATTAATTTTCTTATGAATTAGTTATGGTTTGTGGCCACAGAGGCATGAAAAATTTGCCAACTAACCGAAACCGGCAACAGGTGCGGAGCAGACTCTGGCTGCTTCACAACAATTTAGCGCTTTTCTTTCAATGTTGTGTTCATGAACTCTGTATCTTGCTTTGAGCACGCTTTTATGCACATGCTTATCTGCAATATTCAAACAAACATACACACACACACTTGTGCGTCTTTCATTCTGGGCTGATTATGCGGTAAAAGTGCCGCTGAATTTCAATTAAAGACATGCAGGTACCTCCACTTAATGTTTAAATATGACTAAAGTTGGTAATGTGCACAAAAAAAATGTTGCCTTATATCAATAATTTTCATTGACCCATTTTATTGACATAGAAAACTCGTAATTCAGTAGTGTTTTGTTAATTATTTTCCTTTAATTCAGAAGTCCATGAATAAGAAAATTAGCACTTTTATATATTTCCCTAGTATTGGCATAACATTCCTCAATGACAACTTCAGAGACCTCATGTACTCAGACCTTATCGGCCTCCAGTATATGTTCATTTTCGTGTGCTTTTCAAATTTTTAATTCAAATATATAAGTTTCAGTCTGTACTGTGGACAAAATATTCATAAGACGATGCACATTTGTACCATCACTTCTAATTTGACCTAAATAGTCATAATATGAATCATTAGTGGCGTCTTCGAAACAAGTTGCCTTTAAGTCTATAAAATACAATTTTTTCTTTCACCTATTAGCGAATGTTAAGCAGTTAAAATTGAAACAACTAGGAAAAGACAAAAAGGATCTTGCGACAACTGCCGGTAAGTTCACGAGACGGGCAGCTTGCCTTTGCACATCAGCTTCCGAGTAAAGTTTCGTTACTCTTTGCTTTTATGTTATCATCGTTAATGAAAATTATCGATAAAGCGAATGAATCAAACATTCTACCAATTCACGAACATCCCCAAATGCCTAAGGAACTTGTTGGATTAGACCTGTCCAAAATCCTTTAGCAACATTTTCAATCTCTAAGCATTATATATGGGTATTATGACGTCATAGCAGCGTATGCAGATCATATTTGTCTATTCTTGAGAGGAACATATGAAACCTCGGACTGACTTTTAATTGTATTACAAAACTTGCATTTTTCCATTATTTGTCATAAATATTCTTCTATTAAAAAACTAACTATATACGAGTTTGTAATTTCTAAAAATACCTTTCAATTTCTGCCACTGCATATGCAATTCACCATCCCACAAATCCAATATGCGTCCAGATTGTTGCCGCGCACAGCTCCATGGCTGTTCTCTCATTGGACATAGCACTAAATCTATATATGGCGAAACTTCTGCAAATATAAAACGAAAACATAAATATTGAGTAAGTACGTCTAATTAGTTGAATATGAAATTACATAATTTATTTCATAACGTAGATATTAATGCCTTGATAAATTCATTATTGAGTTGCTACACCTGCAAATAAACACAATACAAAGTAGCAAGTGAAATTGTTATCTAAAAACGTGATGCATAGCATCTCAACTAAAACAAGAATTTAGCAAATGTCACTATAAGCAACACGCATTCGCAATACTTATTATGGTACTCGCCACATACCGTAAAATTGTGATACTTGTTTGACCAATTGCGACTGGAAGCGTAGCCAACTATGAGTGGTATGTTGCCACAAATTGTTGCATATAATGTACTGTTTGCCTTATATAAAAATTTTGTAAATGTAGCAACATATATTTAAGGTGACCCACTAGGAAATCAATCGGAGTTTGGGGTTGAATTTATACCGATAATATTTTCAATGGAAAATATCACAGCAAACATTCACAGTTCTGTCAAACGTAAAGTGAATAATATTAGTGATGAATGTAACATGCTGAGACCATATGTATATATTTAGATATTTAGCGCTTTCAAAAATTTCCTACATGGTGCGTTTTATCAGTTATGTGCGTAGGTGCGATGCAAAAGTTGCATTTGCCATTCTTATAACCTAATCGGTCTCAAAGTGGTCACCAAGCCATTGACCATTGAAAGCTGCGTGAAGAGTAAACCAGACATAAACTAATACAAAACCAAAAACAAATGAATAGGTGCTAATTTCACAAAATAATAGAAAACTTCACTGAGTTCATGGAAAAAAGCAGTTGTTGCTATAAACAAAAAATAGAAGATGCAGAGAGTGAAAGCCGCTTGTGTATGTACATATTGACTTTGATCAAGCAAACAAGAGAGCAACAACTTGTATGCTGTTTGTTGTTGCTATTGCAAGATTTGTTTGCACATTGTATTTTTATTTGCAATTGTATAGCTCAAACAAAGAAGCTTGCGTATGGAAACGATTGTTAGGAAGCAATAGCATAAATCAATTCACATTTACATACGTACTATATGTATATACATATATACTTACGAGTATATTTACAATAATATGTTTGCTTTGAAAATAAGATATCGCTTTAGTGAGTTTGAGTAGTACTATAAATTTGTCAAAACATATTGATTCGTCATATTAAGAAGCTGTCTCTGTAGATTTATAATGATTTAATATCCTTAGCACCAGAAAAGCAAATCAATGCTTTTTAAATTTACGAGGTGAGATTCAGTTATCGTTTTGTGAGATGACATTTGTCAAAATAAATTGATCTGTTACATTCAAAATCTGCCTCTGTAAACACATACCATATATATTTAAATAACGGTTTAATATTCTTAAAACAAAAAAGTGTTTTAAATTACAGAGGTGAGAAATGGGCATGATAAAACAGTTTCCCTAAACTATCTGAGTAATTGGTATGAAACTGTATTTATCAGCAGCACTCTCCCAACTTCCTGGGGAATATTTTTTGCTAGATTCCTTTTGGAAAAAAACCGAAAAATAAATTTTACAGATAATGGTTCTGTTCTGGTTTGTGAAGAACAACATATACATTTTTTGTTATACAGGGTGCTTTTTGGTGGTCAACGTCAGTCTTTCAATATATTTTCGATATGAAATTATTTCTAATAGAATATGTTAAGCGTTGAGGACATACGCCACTTCATCCAGAAGGTGTAATAAATATGTCTTAAGTAATAAAAGCAGAAGCTCGACAATACTGGTTGATACACAAAGTGTCGCTACCTTACTATTATCTTTGCTTTTCACAAAGCATATACATATATATGTATATATATGTATTTATGTATGCTATATTTATAACTTCAATCAAAATATATTGGCAAAACCATTATTTTAAAGCCCGGTGATAGCTTGCCAAATTTGTCAAATGCAAAAGATATTGCCTGCCTCAATATTAACAAATTTATTAAATGTGCCACATAAGTTATCGCCTGAATGGGCTGTGTGTGATACTTTAATATATCAACGTATATATGTATATGGTGCTTTTATGTATACGGCTATACATAAATACAAGCTTTAAGGTTTCAACTGCTCAAGGCATAAAAAAGTAAACGAAAATGCTGCCACCTCTCCAACCCCAGTTGAATGGAAAGTCGCATCGTGAAACTGATGACCTCAAATTGGCGTTACAGCATTAGCAACAAACAAAGGATGATCGGCAGTGTGAGCGAGCAGTTTTGGTGACACGTCAAATATGTAAGCAACTATGTGGTAGTCAGAAATTTGGCGACATCAGTTACACAGTTTAAAGTTAATCTACAAAACAGATCTTTTGCTATTTTTACGTGGGAGCAGCAACATTTCACAAGCTACACATTTATAGGTGTAATGGCTAATGATGAGAAAAATAGAAATAAATTTATCAAAATTGTCTATAAATTTTGCTACATAAAAAAAAATGAAATTAATGCAGTTGATTTTTTATCTCAAATGAAATGGCTTAAAAGACTTTCACTTACAAAACCATTAAGAGCTGACGTTAGATAGCGCATCTTTATTATTGTAAATGCCTGACGGAGATAGAGTATTCAATATTGTATTATTTAACAAAACCCAATTTTATAAAATAAGTGACAAAAGCTTTGCAAGTAAGGAAGGTACATAAACGGGCGCAAAACACTTTCAAACGCTTTTCAGCTATTTTTGCTCTCTCTGTGTGACTATTTTTACAAAGTAAGAGCTAAAAGCGTATTCGATTAAAGTTGAGCCCAATTAACAACAAATAAGAAAGGACTAAGTTCGGGTGTATATTATATATTTTTGTAACTTGCACGAAGCAAAGCGCGGGTAATTCATTCAGGTGTTGGTAAGACTTTATATTAGAAAATGTCCCGAAAGGATTAAACATTCATTATTCTAAGAAATCGTGAATAAATTACAATCAAATTTGGTATCTTCATGACTTATATTGAAGGTCATTAACTTCGACTTAGTTTTATTCCTATAGTTCTTGTCAGCTAATATTTGATTCAAAACGTTTTAACTACACATGTTATATCAACAAAATTTAATATATTGTGTTGATGTGGAAAGCGTCGAACAGAAGATCAGAATTCATTATATTTGGGATATGAAATTTAGACGAAGGTCTAGACCAATTCCACTCTGATTCAGCATTAAAGTCAGACGGATGTTCGAATATTCTAATATTAGTTATATAGAGGCTAGGTCAAGTTTTCTTCAAGATACCTTATTTTTAACTAAAGTTACAGCTTGCACGGACAGACAGTCACCCGGATTTCAACCCATCTCGTCATCCTGATCATTTATATATACATAACCTACATTAAATCATTAATCACTATTTTTTCGATAGTTCCCACAAAACCAAATTTATTCTTTTGGAGGAAGAATGTAAAAGAATTTAAGGAAGAATAAGAAAAGAATAGACATCGTCGCTTCCAACGTGATTGCTAAATAAAGGAATCTTCTCAAAGCAGGAATTTTTGTACGAGCAAGAAAACTTATTTTTGTTCAACTTAACGGTACGAAAAAATCAGGATCAAGATAAAAATACTTAAGAATATAAAAATATATTCCAGGCAGTTTTCCTACCAATGTTCCTAGCGTACACCGATATTTTATTTACTGGTGATCGACAATAAGACATCTAAGGGCAATATGCAAATGAACTATTCCAACGTAGAGCAAAACAAAGTACGAAAAGCTAAATTTCCTGTAAGGATTCACCATTAAGTCAGATACAAATTTCATATATTGAGCTAATAATACTTTCATGAGGGGTATATACCACAACGAGCTGAAAGGCTTACACAAAGTATAATGATATACGATAATGGTCTAAGCCTTGGGCTTACTTATTTTATTGCCATATTTAATACACATCGAAAGTACCATTTGCAATATTGAACTTAGAGAATGAATTGGAATGCATTTTGAGCTAATGTAAAAATTTTGTTCTGCTAATTTGGACTTAGATCTTTATATAATTCTAGAGACATAGAGATTTAACTAAAGGCCATGATATTCAATCAGAAATTTATTCTACTTAAAAGCATAAATTTTAGTCACAATATGGAATCGGGTGTACTCAAAATGTATCCAAAAATAAACGGCTCCCTCATTATATTTGTATATCAATCATTATAGACTTAATGAGACAACACGAGCTCCCACTTTAATATCTTTCGGTTAAGGCCACCCATAAAATAATATATTTACTTTCCAATTATATATGTTTAAAAATGTACTATAGAAAATTATACTGTTCTGTCAGTGAATAAAGTGAATGTGCTTTCATTTGTTGTTGTTGCCTTAAATAATGACATAAAATTGTTTTACGTGTCATTTGATACCCCAGTTGCGGACAGAGCGCAACCACCCACCCAACTGCAAGGCGTTTTGCATATACAGTTACACATCCATACATACATACAAGAACACATACATATATTATATACATACATAAACTTGGCTACTGGACGTCACTTGGAGCCACAATGCACCTGCGCCTTTGACTGGAAGTGCTTTTACCCGGACTACCGTTACGTCTTACAGTGAAAACAATCTTGCGGCGTGTACCAGCAATCAAGTGAGGCGGACAATAATAGCGCAGACAATTTTTTTTATAAAAATGGCAACAACAAATATTGCCTACTTCGGCATTATAGCTACTTGGTGAAGCATTATCTTGACAGCCATTATGGTCAATACAATAAATAATCTGCAGAATTAAATGCCGCCCAATCAAAGTGCGGTGCGCGTGTGGCATGTAAATGAAGTCAAGCGGCGAACGGCAGCAATAACGCCGATATGTTTGTGTGCGCAATTGACGGAAATGGAGCAACAAGTGGGAGTTGCCCGTGAGTAAGGGACAATGGGCGATAGGCGGCGATAGTCCAGCGATAATCGGCGGGGGAGGTGTGTGTGTTTGAGTGCCTCTTTTGTACTCTCAACTTGCACTTT